TTCAGACTGTGAATACGTTCATGAAGAATGCGTTCCCAGTTGAAGTGACAGTCAGTGAGAGCTAGAGTGAGGAGGAGAATTATGAAAATTATAGATTTAAAACTAGATCGATAGTAAAAAGAAGGGGGCGTGTCCCTCAAACAGCAACATCTGGTGCTTACTTTGTGAAACAAGACGGATCCTACTAAGTGGATTGGCACACAAATGTGGAATATTGGCGCTAGATGAAGGGTAAACCTATTTTCTACAATGTCTCCAAGTTTCATCTTATTCTAACCACTTGTTTGCATGTAACTAATATATTTGTACATCATGTTGGTTTTTTCGTGTTAATGCCCAGGAGCTCAGGTTATAGGGACAGTTAGGTTCAGGGCCTCATTTCAGGTAGGTTTAACACGACCTCACAAACCATGTCGAACAGCTGACTGACCAAGCGTAAACACTGCATCATTACTGCTCATTGCCTGACATGGAAAAAAAAACATAGCCTTTGTGTAAGGGTTTACCTGTACGGTAGGCATTGGTTAACTCAGAATTAGGAAGTAAACATCTTGAGATCGACTTGTACACTACAGTTTATGGTAAATCTGTATGGGTGTCAGCAGACCACATTACAAGAAATCAAATTAATCATACCTGGATTAACCAGAAATTTCAATTATATTTATGTGACTGAAAAGAGATAGGTGCAGACCTAGTTTCAGATCACCATCAGCTGGCGAGTACAAAAAAGTAAAGGACCCTTTTCCACGCCTTTAGGCGCATAGGGCATATAGGGCTAGAACTATATTTTTATAAACCAACGGCACAAGATGGGTGATGTGGTCAGCATCACGCCGGCCGCCTCTACTTCCCGGGACTGCATCCGGTACCCACTCAAGGCTGGGTCAACCTGGGAGCCGTCATTTTTGAAGAAAAGTATGGCTCCGCCAGGGAGCGAACCCACGACCTTCTGATCCGCGGCGCGCATCTAGCCACTCCGAGCTGGCGAGCGAACAGAATTAAATTGAAACTCTCAAATGATACATCACATCTTTTAACGTATGGAATCTCAGAAACCAGGAAATGAATGAATCAATCAAGAAGTGTCATCGCTTCACTTGGGCCATTACCACACGTTCTCTGTCCCCTTCTTCAGTAACCAACGAATGGTGGGTTAAGAGGTCAAGAAATTTAAAACAAGTTATGACCACAGTCTCTTGAACTATTAGATCCTGGAAGGGTCAGTAGATGCAGTGAGTATGGAAGACCGCTGGCATCATATTTCATGTACATAAGTTTTTGGAAACAGGAAAACACAAATATAAAACATTAACTCCTGAAACTCACTAAAAAAAAAAAGATAGTAGAAAAATAAACAGTAGTGAAACGAGAGCTCGTGAAATATAACATAAGGTGATCAAGAAGATGGCCGATATGGCAGGCAAGCACACAATACTGGTGCTAAGCAGGAAGTGAAATAGCTTTATTAATGTCAAAGACAGTCTTTATATGGAATGAAATACTTGTTAAATTCCAAGATTTATGTTCAGTAACCATTTTCTTTTTTATGTGTGTGTTTTTGCTATTTTTGTATTTGTATTTTTGCATTTTACTCTGACATATTTATTAGTTTTCTTTTTTTTTGTTTTAAATAACTAATTTGTCAAATGCGCCTATAGCATTCACATAAAATGTGATGTATTCTGCATATAGTAACATATCACTTGATGAATTCATTTGATTTTTTCAATAAACAGTTGAGACTGACTGACTGACTTTCTACCCCACTAGGACATCACACAAGCGATAAACACCCGATGACACAAAGTGCCACCATGTGGATGAGGATCGCTGTAGAGAGGTCCCAGAAACCGCGTTCAGACAATTGGCCACATCTATGGCCTGCCTATATTGCAGTGGGGCTTCAAACAACAAAAAATGTTCTCCTAAAAAGGACAAAAGTAATTAATGTCGACAGTTGAGACATCTTTTACAAGTTATTAGTCATATGGAGGTGGATGTATATTTTCTGTTCCGAAATTAATTCTTTATATCTTTTTAGCTGTTCAAAATCAATTTGTATTTCATTTACTTTTATTTCAAGCTGTGGTAGAATACAGTTAAAGCATGTGACAAACTGCAAGAACCTTCCTCCCCCCCCCCCCCCCCCCCCCATGTTTTAAAAATCACAACAAATCATTTAAAAAAAAAAAGCAAATCACATTTAAATACAATGGTATACAACAGGGCTATACAACTAAGTACACTCAGGGGCCTTAATTTTGAAAATGGGGATCGTCAAGGGCCAGAGTCCCTAGCCCTGTCGTAGAAAGATTATACAATACATACTGAAAAAGATCCATGTGCTACTTGCTAGGTCTCTACAGGACAGATTTGGCCTGTGGGCTGACAGTTGAATAGCCCTGGTAAATGGCAACAGGACCAGGAATGGCTTTTTTGTATGACTGACTTTGTAACCAAGGTCGACTCATTGAAATATGGGTATCCAAAAATATGT